ACTTCTTGGCTGTCAAGACTACAGGAGGATTCTGCTAAACTCTACATTAATGAGATAGTCAGGTTGAATGGGGTTCCCTTGTCTACCATCTCAGATAGAGTTCCTCAGTTTACCTCTCATCTTTGGAGATCGTTTCAGAAAGGTCTTGATACTCAGGTAAATATCAGCACAACATTTCATCCACAGACGGATGGTCAGGCAGAGCGTAGCATTCACACCTTAGAGGACATATTGAGAGCTTGCGTGATTGATTTCAAGGGTAGTTGGGATGATCATCTACCTTTCATGGAGTTCACCTATAATAATAGCTATCATTCCAGCATTTAGATGGCCCCTTATGAGGCGTTATACGAGCGTAGATGCAGATCTTCGGTTGGTTGGTTTGAAGTAGGTAAAGCAACATTAATTGGGCCAGATTCGGTTTAAGAAGCTATGGAAGAAGTTTAGCTCATCAAAAATAGACTTAAGACAACTCAGAGTCATCAGAAGTCCTATGCAGATGTAAGGAGAAGGGATTTAGAGTATGAGATTGATGATTGGGTTTTCCTAAAGGTGTCACCTATGAAGGGGGTGATCAGATTTGTCAAGAGAGGGAAGCTCAGTTCGAGATATGTAGGTCCCTACGAAATCCTGAGAAGGGTCGGTAATGTGGCTTATGAGTTAAAGTTACCAACAGAACTAGCAGCGGTTCATCCAGTCTTTCATATTTCCTTGTTGAAGAAGTGTGGGTGATTCGACATGCATAGTACCATTAGAGAATATAGTTGTGAATGATAGTCTCACTTATGAAGAGGTTCCAGTTGAGATTCTTGATCTTTAGGTTCGTAGGTTGAGAAATAAAGAAGTTATTTCAGTGATGGTTTTGTGGAGAAGTCAGTCCGTAGAGGGAGCTACTTGGGAAGCAGAAGCAGCCATGAAGGCCAAGTATTCTCATCTCTTTCCTTTCGATTTTGTTTCAGCTTATGGTGATAGTTCCTCTCCAGTCTCTCAGTTAACTCTTGAGTAAAATTCAGCGTACGTGTTTTGTTCCTTCAGTTGTTCGTGCATTTTCAGCATATTTGAATGATCTTGGAACTCAGTTCAGTCAGATATCAGTTTCTAGTACTTAGTGGTATAGATTGCAACTCCTTCCCTCCATACTCAGCTTGTTTAGACTTCATTCGAGGAAGAATGTTTCCAAGGAGGAGATATTTTAACACCTCAGATCTCAAATTGAAGAAAATCCTAGTTTTCAAAAAGTTGGTACCAGTACCAGCGGAACCACCCACACACCGTAGGTAGAACCACAGGCCGTAGGTGGGGTTTCGTCGCTAATGTACAAATTTTGATGGTCTCTAATCCCACCCATGGTCGATCAGTATGGTCCGTGGTTGGACCTACGAACCGTAGGTCTGACCTTTGGTGAGGGTCAACAACTAATGGAGGGAATTGGTTGTTGGGTTCAACTTCAAACGGTCATATCTTTTAGCACAGAATGAATTATGCAACCCATGACCTATCAAATGAAAGATAATTGAATCATCTTTTCAATGCCATCGAGTTTGCAAAAATCCCATCTCCGAGGAAAAAGTTATGCTCGTTTTAGTGAAGCCCTATCGGGCAGAGCTTGACCGACGACTCCTACCGACGGTTGGTAGGCCAACCGACGGCCCGTCAGTCCTGTAGTAGGTGGCACTCATCAGATTTTAAGTCAAGGCCATTTTGGTCCTTTCCCCTAAGCATTGGGCACTTAAAAATACGTCGTTTGATGTCTAATCTACGTCGTTTTATTAAGTGTAAGCCTAATAACTTAGTTAGACATACCTAGAACCTTTATTCTCCAAAATTCATCAAAATTAGAGAAAAAAGATAAGCAAGAAGCGCCAGCCTTCCTAAGAATAACCAGCAGGTTTCCTTCAAGTTCTAGCCTAAAAAATCGAAGGATTTTTTCATAGATTTCGTCGCTAGGTATGTGGGATTTCACTAGTAGGCTCCTTTCATCCACTAGGTCCCTAGAATTCAGTGAGATCGTTGATTGTCCATATCTTATTTAGACTTAGGGTTTCTAAAACCATGGATAATTGTTAGAGATTTAGCTGTTGTAGTATCCGTAATCGAAATAATATGTTTTCTCAGAAAGTTTGCTTGATTCCTTGTATGAAACTCAGAACCTAGTTGTGTAGATTATCCTAGTTCATGAATTGCATTTCCTAGGTTAGTTAAATAAATAATCATGCTTTTGATTTCGAGTGTCACATTATCAGTATATAAATATTCCATTCACAGTTAGCATGTCAGTATTTTGAGCTATTCAATATTTCAGTCACATTTTAGTCATATACATATTCAGTTAGGAGTAGACTTAGCACCAAGTTGTACTAGGGTTCAGCGTGCCGTCATTGTCCCAGAACTACGTGCCTCCGTAGGATTATAAGTCCCTTCTGTTGGGCATCATATTTAGTGATCAAGCTAGTTATGCCTTTATAACCCTAGCAAGGTATATTGGGTCCTCTTGATGGGGCGTATACATCGCTTACCTCACGTGGTTGTATGTCGATTAATAGTAGATCCCACAGTAACTCTTAGTACATTTGACCAGGTTTTCAGTATATACTTCAAAAATCAGTTCAACATGTTATTTTCATGATTAGTACTTGGTCATTGCATTCAACTTAGTTTTTGAGTTATATTTCAGTATTTACATTTTTAGTCAGTTTATTTCATTGCTTAGTTATGCTTTATTCAACTTATATATGTTTGTTCAGCTTAGTTTCTATATCCTGCATGCTCATATATTCAAAGTACTAATTCATACTCTGCGCTACATGCTTTCATGATGTAGGTTAAGGTACTTAGCATCCAGATCGCGCTTAGATCGATTCTCAGTCCACACTTCAGCACCTTCAGTGGTGAGTCCTCATACTTCGAGGACAATAGACATGCTTTTATTTTAGTATGTACTATCAGTTTTCAGTTTTGTTAGAGTTAGCTGGGGACATGTCCCAGCAACTCAACTCAGTTGAAGGCTTTTCAGACATAGTAATAGATTCAACTTGAGTTGTTAAGTGGTTGTTAGTTATCACTAAACTCTTAGTACGTTGTATATATTCAAACTATTTGGATTTTGTTTCCCATTTTGAGATATCCACTACTTTTAGCTTCCGCATAGTTCATGTTTTAGTTAGTTATTTTTAGTATGCTTATGATATACCAGACATAGGGTTAGCTTGGGGTCACTCGTGGTCCTAGGCCCCGTGTTACGTAAAGGTGATAGCCTCGGGGCGTGACAAAGTAGGTGGAGATATTACATACATTCACAAAAGAAAACTCCCTAGATGACCTTTTTTACTAATCATGTTATCAATTTTGCAGATGTAAATAGACATCAATTTCATAACTTGCAGGAGATTCCTCAAAAAGCTAAAGCAATTGTTCAATTAGAAAAAACAAAGATTCAAAATTTGATAATAAAAAAAGTTCATAACAAGGAATACAAGCTACAATGGGGAGACATGTAATTAACGAACGACAACAAGGAATTTGGTTTAAAATTTCAGTTCATCTACAAGTAATAGAAAATTTAAATATTTAGTTGACTTTGCGACAAAGCCTAAAAGTTGTTGTCTTGAGCAGTTGTATCTACTCCATCTGGGTTCAACCTACTGGGGAAATGAAATAGAGCGTGCGAACCAAAGAAACCTAAGTACTAATTGAAATAATTAGAATACTTATCGGAGACGAGCTCGATTTAGCTTGGATGATTTTTGGGCGATGCCCTAGGATTGAAATCTGAGGCCATTTCAAAGGGCAATAGGTGTTGAAGTGATTTTCTCTACAACAACTTAGATCCACATCACTCATGTTGAAGAAGTCTTCATTGGTTTGAATCATAGCGTCAATGAGATTTTTTTATGTCGAAATAATTTCACACTAAATTTGAGTGTTATGTTGATTCTAGTTTTTCGCTGAAGAGTTGTGAGGTGCGATGGAGGTATGCTCACCGAAGAAGATGCTTCAATCTGGAGGTGTTGGTCAGAGCTGATGTAATGAAGCCTCTTTCTGTTTTAAGCTTTCCTTGATCGTTTTGTCATTGTTTGTTTTTCTCTTTAATACTAGGCCACTTTTGGGTCTGGTCATAAACATTCTAATATAAAAATTTGAAACAAAAAAGTTATCAAAAAAAGGACTAAGATATTTTTTTTAATAGTAAAAGAAAATCAAAGAGAAATAAATTGGAATCGAGTGTGTAATGAAATATATATATATATATATATATATATATATATATATATATATATTTATTTATTTATTTAAAAAAACATCAACTCAAATTAATGAAAACAATAAATTCATAACAAAAATATCACGTTCTATACCTATTTTAAAAATATTTATTCCACTTAACTTATATATTTTTATAATAGGCTCATGATTTGTGTATAAATATTTTTAATATGCTATTAATAAATTTAAATATTGAGTAATTGTCCTCAAAATATAATGTTGTATTAATTAATGGAGTATGGTCCCGCCAACTATGTAAATATATTTGGTAATTTAGCTGTAAATAGGTAAAATTAATCTCAATCTGTCTTATCCGCCCAATTCGTTTAAATTTGGACAGATTATTGATCCGTTCATTCATGAGTTCAACCCATTAAAATTTGAGTTGATATGTAACCCAAAATTATCCATGAGAAATCTTGTTAAAATATTTTTAATTTTTTTAATTTGACATATTATTATTTATAGATATAATAAAAAGAAAATTTTTGTAAGGTACTATTATATTTTAAAATACCAAATAAAATAATTAGGCTCAATAAAAAAATAAATTGAGTCGGATTTTGACAGGTTACTTAATGCATTTTGACCCAAATAAATTTGAATTAAATTAAAATTTTTAGGGCAATTATTATTCTTTGCCATTATGAGTCATCCAAATTTAACTTAACCGATCTATTGCTGCCGCTAACTATAAATAAAGATTTGTTGTTTTAAAAAATGAAAAAGAGAAAGGAATGTCCGCAACAGGGAGTTGCAGTTTGCCGGAATCGGAGTCCCACGGGCATCTCGTCAAGGAGGTAATTGAGTCGATACTTTAACAGCGCTAATATGTAAGTTTTGATGTACCGATCGAGAGTTGGGTGGGAAGTCCTAATGATTATATTTATGGCAACATAGGTGAGAAGTCACGAGGTTGCGATAGCCGAGCTCAGTAACCTTCCTGATTCTAGGGTATGCTGTTCTTATTTTCTCGAATTCCACACTTACTAGTGATTCATGGATTTTCTTTTAGTTCTGTTTGATTTTGTAGTTCAATAAAACTACATAGGGTTTTACCCTGGGACATTATTGAAGAGTCTTGGGAGATTTCAAAGCAGGCTAAGGCTGGCTGCACATTAAATCCAAGCTTGAAACTACCTTTTAAGCTGATAACATTTTAAGACTAAAAATCCATCTCTTTAGGGAAATGGGTGAGGTTGCCTCTAAGATGTAGAAGAAATAAATAGTGGGGAAAGATGTCAACTCCCTTTTGGGAATCAATACAATCCAAGGCAAAGGAAAGTATGAGCTTGGAGAAATCCTTGCTACATTCCAGGTTAGGGAGGGAGGCCATATCAACAGGGAAGTGGAGTTGGTTCCTTGATGTATCTCATAGGTTAGGAGAAAGTCAGAGGTATAGTAATTTGTCAACGACTTAGTCAATTACTTGTCACAGAAGAAATCAGTTGGGGGAAGAATCGCGAATCACTACTCACTAGGCTGAAAGAAGGAGATAGTTATAGACGGTTCTCTAATAAGATGGCAAATGCTCGCTCAGTCCCTAATAAAGGATTCAGAACAATTTAAGATTTAGAATTTAGATAAACTAGTAAATCCTAAGTTAAGATATCTACACATACAGATTAAAACATTGAACCTGAAATCATTTGAAATCTCGATTACATTGATAGGTTTGACATTGATTGGCGATGCTGTAAGATGAGAAGGATATAAGAAAAGGAATGGTCCAGTACTATGCCGTCAAGAGGCTGTAAACAAGAACATAGGTGAAATGTCACTTGAAGACGGATTTCTTAATTCAATCTGGATGATAGGGAGACATTTGAAAAACCTTTTAGATTGGACGAAGAGGTGGATGCAATAAAGAGTTCTGTTCTGAGATAAGGCACCGGGGTCAGATACTTTTATGATGGCACTTTTCCACCATTGTTGGGAAGCATTGAGTATACTTTCTACTCATTTATAGTAACCAAAAGAAGACTGGAGCACAGGACAGAGAAGGTATAAAACTTATTTTTTAATAGGAAACATGTACCACGGTTATAGCCAAGGTACTATCAGTGAGATTGAAGTTTGTTGTTGGCTAGTCAATGTACACATTTAAAAATATTTGATTAAAGTCAATTATTGGATAGTTAACATCCACATTTTAGAATGTTTGATTTAAGTCTGTTGTAGGCTAGTTAGTTTCCACATTTCGGTGTATTTTTGTAGAAAAAATGAAAGATCCTCATTGATTATTGATATCTAATGAGTAATGAGTGAGTGTAGAACCAAACTTGGTAAGCCCAATGGTAGTAAGGACTTACAAATATGAAGATTAATTTGCTTGATGCACTTACTTGACAATTTGGATTTAGGGGATGAAGGTTCTCCGTAATTTATGGAATCCATAGTCCCTTTTTTGGTAGTACTAGCAGTATAAGGTGGGTCTCCCTTATTCTTGTTGTCATTCACTTTGGTGTGGATCTTAGATAGATAAATGGAAGAAATTGGAGCTAGTGGATTTACAGGGGTTTTAGAGTGTGACATTGGATCGAGTCCTTGATATTGCAATTCTCAAGTGTTTACCATCTGATATATTTTGATTGTGGTTATTAATGAGAAAATCTTCAGAAATTAGTCTAAGAATAGCCATTCAAGACCTGAATGAGAAGAGATGCGTGAATTAATGCAAAATATCTATGGTTCCACAAGAATGAGAGATGGAGAGCATAGAACAGACCAGCTATTAGTACTCTCTCTATGCGTGTAAATCCAATCACATTAAGAATGTAAAATGAACTGTTATGAATTAGCGTTGCATGTCCAAAGCGGTTGAAAAGATCTAATGACTTGTTATAATGCTGTAGATTGGCAGTACTCTTTTCTCTACTTGACATTCATATTAGGGCACCCGCAACTATAGCAAGTTTGAGGTAATGAAAGCAGCATTGGAAGTGCCTGCTATGTGTTTTTGGATGAATTAGAATGATATTTACAGGGGGATAAATCAAGGTCATGAAAAGAGCTTAAGAGTTGAGAAATATAAAAAGATTGCTTTTGTCTAATTTGTATTGTTGGTGTAAAGGTGAAGGGGATTCTAATTCAAATTCAGATTTCAGTTTCTTTTTTTGAAGTTGAAATTTAGATTTCAGTTATTGTTAATCACAATAATTTTAATGTTGCTATGCACCTGTAATGTCAAGTTTTTTTCAATTGCATGTGCATTCTTGAAGCAGTGATCTATACTTCAATGTTTAGCTAATATTTGAGAGTGGTGAGTGGCTAAAGCATTGGGGAGTAAAGAGGAAGGTATATAGTGAGAAAAGAAATGAAATCAAGGAGAACTATAGCTTTGATAAAGTTGTCAAAAAATCTCAATCTCAAATGCAGCATCTGCCTATCTCCATCAAATGAGATTGATTAGGGAATTCTTTAATGCAGATGTAGAAAGGTCATAATGAGAATTTGACGAAAATAAGTTCCTTGTCCCTTGCTTTTCATCAAAAAAAGAAAGGAAAAAGTTCATTTCACTTTGCTCATCTTTGGTTTCTTCTTTTACGATCTGTCAACCACTCTTTCACTGGAAAGATCCATCGGTGCTAGTTTCAAAACTTGTCTGATCTGTCAACCACTCTTCCACTGGAAAGATCCTCACATAAACTCAAGCATGGTACACCAATAACAAAGACATACCCAGTGAAATCCCACAAGTGTGGTCTAGGGAGGGTAGAATGTACGCAAATTTTACCCATAGCAAGACAACACGACACAATTGATCCACTTTTCCTCTAAGTTGCATGGAATCTACACTTTCGGTGCCACTGTGCTGACATGACATGCGTATGGGATCTGTACCGGATATGGTCAATCTATTTTGGGGTAATTTGACCAAAATGGACCATTATATTCGATACAATAACAATGATCTCTAAATTAAGGCAAAAGCTAGGGTAAATCATAATTTGGGCATATAGTTTTTTCATCGTTAAAAGATATTTATATTTAGTAGCTTGCAACCAGAAGGTGCTTTAATGATATTTACAGATTAACATCACTGTCTGGATGGTACTTCTCAACAGATGAGCAAATTGTGTTCAAATGATGATTGATGAAATATCTAATCCTCCTTTTCCCTGTCTGGTATGGTCTTACATTCCACTGTCCCTACTCATTAAATCTACTTAGATAGTGGAATGGATGGCTTAGAACATGTGTACGGTGTTTAGCAGTTTTATTCAATCACTTTCCAGTTCCCTCTTGGGATTCTCCAAAAAGATAAAGGAGGCCACGGTGGGGTGGAGTCGGTAGGATTTTTGTCAAGCCTTTATCTTATGAAATGGAGGTCTTTACATGGTGGCATGAAACAACTAAAGTAGTTTTGAGTTTTTTAATACCTTGATTCTTTCAATTATCACAAGTTGAACTGATGACTTCCTTGATCTATTTTGTTGTATTATCCTCTTAAATTTGAAGCCCTTTGTGCATGTATGATAAATAAGGTATAAATGTGGATATATGATAGACCTTTGTAATAATATCATTCAAGTTTTAATTAATTTACGAGGATGTACTTTGTTACTTCATCACCAGGCTGTCTACCGGAGAAATGGCAATCTATTCTTCCGTACAACTGTTCAGAAAGCAACAACATCAGAACAAAGTAAAATATTCTATCTGTGCATGGATTCAAGCAGTTTTTGTACTGATCACTTTTTCTGTATGTTGTTTTCATCTTCATTGTCTTTTTTCTTTTGGGCAGAACAAGTGGACATGGTCAAATCTAAGTTACAAAAATTAAGCTCCTAATGAGTCTAACAAGATCCATCCAGTTTGAGAGGTTGGGAAGAGGTAAAACCAACTCTTCGCTTGTGGAGAGCGTGAATCTGACTTACTTTTTAGGTTATAAGCATTTTTGGAGATTATATACCTGTTGAAGTTGGTATTACCATAGTGTTTTTGACTTTACCATATTGTTATAGTTATATTTGATTATATTTCATTTCAATGTGCTACTTGAAATTACAAACTTGCGTAATTTTATAAGTAGTCAGATTTGCAAGTTTGTCTCCATCAGACCCGAACTGGCCGCTTCTCATTGTATGTATGCAAGTGAGATTCGGAGAGAGCTGTTATTGAATTGAAGAGCACTTTAACAGAGAGGGTTAACTATTTTGACTGAAGAGTCATTATTTAATCTGAAGCAAATTTAATGTTATTGACATATTTATTATTTATATGGTGATTTAAGTTATATAATCATTAATCAACTATTATATCTGCAGAGTGATTTTTTTGCTTGACAATTTCTTTAAGTGATGATCTACTTTAATTACATAAAAATAGCTACTTGAGTTGATTAGTTTGGTCTTTTTATGAGCTACTTTTAACGTTTTATTTTATGTTTTAAGTGTACGATACCATATTGATTTGGGCATACATGTTGACTTACATTGTTTCAAACCATCTTCTTGTCACGAGCTAGCTTTTAAGATTGAATAAGATTTAAGGTTTATTTTTTGTCATGATATTGGAGGGAGATCCATCTCGATTCATTGTTTACTTCATATTTAGTTTTATTTTATGCTGTCTACGTTCTAGATGTCGAATTCATTATTTTTAACATGATATTTGTCACGATTCAAAATTCAAGCTCATGATATCATCTTCACATAACTCACCGATAGGTAAGTTGACCTTTCGCCCATATCGAATATCAAATCAATAAGCGGAATTTATAATGGGGGAAGTGAAGTCTCAACAATACCAAGCTTGAATAGGATAATTAAAGACGTGCAGATAACATATTATACTCAAGTTTTGGTGTCACAAGTTACAGGTATAAGAACTTTAAAGACTTAGGGTGTGTTTGGTATGCACAAAAATATTTTCCAAAATTTTCATGTTTAGTTGGTTTAAATGGTTTTTCAAATTACTTATATTTCTCAAATTTAGGGAAAATGACCTCTCTTCAAAAATTAAGAAACACATTTTTAGAAACTCTCCTCCAACCTCAAATTAGAATAATTTTTCTTACCCCACCTTGTACCTTGATTGTACCCATTAAAAAAAAAAAATCATTAAAATTCAATTTATTTTATCCCTACTTTGGCTCCTCTACCCCAACCAGCCCCTCTCCAACATAAAAAACTTAATAGCTTAAAATATTATTTTTAAAAAATACTTTAAATTGTAAAATTCGGGTTTTTGCTCTGCCCAACACCTAACTACCTACCTATACCCTGCCCCTCTACAAAATAAATGAAAAGTTTGTTCAAAATTTCATTTTCTTTAACTTACACATACCTCCCCCCCCCCCCCCCAAAGTATTTAAAGATCATTTTTTAAAAAAAAAATAGTTTTAATTTCAAAATTTAATTTTTTCTACCCCACCCCTATCGCTGAACCCCCTAAAAAAATAATTTTAAAATTGGTTTTCGAAAAATATTTTCAAATTTTAAGAATTTTATTTTTTTTACCCCCCACCCGACCCCCTCCCTAAAAAAATTTAAAGTTTGTTTTTGAAAAATACTTTCAAATTTTAAATTTTTTATTCTTTTACCCCATAACCCCCCCCCCCCCCCACACACAAAAGTAATTTAATTTTTTAAAAATCTCAGTCGAAAGTTAGGTTTCGAATCGGGTGTGGTTGGATCCTGGTTCAAAAGTAAGGGTCAAAATTTTTATTTGAAAGTCAAATCTTGGGTATTATATCGATTGTTGGTTGTTAGGGTCGGATCTTGGTTTGAAAGTTGGGTCTTGATTCGAGTGTTAAAGTTGAAACCTGGATTGATGTATCATGTTCAAGTTCGGGTGTCGGGGTCAGGTCGTAGGTCAGATATCTGGTTTTAATTCAAATGTTGGGTATCGGGTCAAAAGTCAGGATCAAGTCCTATGTCATATTACATGGTTGGATTTCGGATCTATCGTTGGGGTTGTGTCCTAGTTGGCGTGTCGGGGTGATGATGCTCAAACTACTCTCTAAAACATATCCAAAGAGTAAGCAATTGTCGTCAATATAAAACACCCAAGTAAGAGTCGGAGTCGAATCCCAAAAAATTATATAGTGCAAAGAAATCTATCAAGAAATTCAGAACGTAAATCAATTCATTTGTAGCACTAAGAACAATGGGTAAATGATTCCACCAAATTTACGAAATGAATTTTGGTATCAAGAGTCACACTTAAACTAAGATTTCATAAATTCAACTAAGTAACAAGTAATCTAGGGGTGTGAGGATTGAAAATTGATATCACATGGAGGTAATTTTGTTGCTCTATAGTTCTGAACACTCATGGATAGACTAGGTCATCTTTGATGACACTAATCTTCTTTGATCTCATAACATCAATTCATAGAATCTCCTTTCGGTCTCATATATGTGCCATGTTACACCTAGGGTATACTTTGGGTAGTGATGGTGTTTCAATGATTCCTTTGAGTCCCGAACATCGAGTATGATTGATTTGCATATGTGGTTTGTGTGCACAGGGTTTTGAATGAATCTTGAGGGTCCATTCAACTATGGTTGTGTATCTCGGTTCGGTTTTGGAATTTATCAATTTTACCTATCGATTATCGGTTCGTAATCATGCAAAATCGTTAAGATATCGATTTGTTGATTAGTGATCGTTATCGGTTCGATTATCGGGTTAACCGTTAACAGTTCACACAATTTTCATTGAATTACTAATGCCAATCACTAATTAATAGTACGCAGTAGCTAGTAGTCACTGGAAAACTTTTCCCTTTAGTCCATTACTACATAAAACACTTAATAAAACTCTATATTAACCTAGACAAAGATGTCAATATTGCCCAAACAAGGAAACTCAAAAGGATTCCTCATAACAACCAAGCCAATTTCGATATGAACTATAAAGAGAAACAATTACAACACTACTAACGAAAACCATTAATGATCATGAGACCATTACTTATAAAAACTTTTTCATTGTAGATTGTAGTATTGCAATATTACAGGCATATCTCAGTGACTCACACACTGTAATGAGAAGATAAAAACAAAGACTTAAAGTAAGGGAACCAACCATTTGAACCTCAATTTTGACACTTACGAGAATGATATTCAATATAACTCGCCGACGCGGGAGCTGTGACAGTGAATCAATGAGTGATGTCACAACTTAGGAATATTATTGTGAAATTTGAGAGTCAACTATAAAGTCATTGTAAAGAGTCCGAAGACTGAAGTGTAAACCCTAAAGGCTAAAAGTTCCTAAGGCATTAAGTGATATGAATATAATTTGTTAAACTTCTTATTGGGTTATCGGGGCACCCCATTAGAAATAAGGTCAAATTGAGACCCAAACTGATAAGCGATAAGAGGTTTATAGTAAATTGACACCCGAACCATTAAACCATTAACCTGAACCATTGACCCAATGAACAAATTATCGATTCAGATTATCAGTTTCAGTTTGATTCTGAAAGGCCCTACTTTTGATGTTTGGAGAGCTGGCTGATTTTTCTGGTACTTGTGTGCTTCACTTTCGCAATTGGGAGGATCACAGAAGCAAGATCGTGGTCGCGAAAGAGAATGGTGTTAGTTAGGTGGGATTCATTGAAGCAATCCATGGATCACGATATTCGCGAAAGCGAAGGTCCCCACTTTCGTAGAGTTTGCTTTTGCAAACCCAAGGTTGCTTTTGCGACCACAAAGAGGGGTTTATGTTAGAAAATTTTGGAGTTTAATCCTCATTTTCCATTTTTTGGGCTTGTTAAAACCCTTGGAGGCGATTTTGGAAGAATTTCTTGTGCTAAATCATTTGGGTAACCTTTTGTGATCCTAAACTCCATTTCTCTTTATTATTTATGGATTTTAACATCAAAATTTGGGATTTTGATCGGCAAATGACAAGGTTTTTCAAGAACTAAAGTTTAAACTAAAATGAATATTGTTATTTGATTTTGATTCCTTTTTTGACATGATTTTCACCCCTGAATTCCTAAATCATTGAGTATCAATTTCAAGTAAAGAATTTCCGACTAGAACTTTAGAAATTTCAGAAATTCAAACAAGTAACAAGTAATCTAGCGGTGCGAGGATTGAAAATTGATATCACATAGGGGTAATTTTGTTGCTCTATAGTGCTAAACACTCATGGATAGGCTGGGTCATCTTTGATGATACTAATCTTCTTTTGATCTTATAACATCAGTTATTACAATTTTCTTTCGTCCTCATCTATGTTCCATGTTACACTAGGGTATACTTTGGGTAGTGATAGTGTTTCAACAATTCCTTTGAGTCTGGAACGTCGAGTATGATTGATTTGCATATGTGGTTTGTGTGCACGGGGTTTTGAACGAATCACGAGGGTCCTTTCGATGCTTGGAGAGCTGGCTGGTTTTTTTGGTACTAGTGTGCTTCGCTTTTACCATCGGGAGGATCGCGGAAGCAAGACCATGGTCGCGAAAGCGAATGACCTCAGTTAGGTAGGGTTCGCTTAAGCGATCCATGGGTCGCGATCACGATGTTTGCTAAAGCGAAGGTCTCCACTTTCGCAGGGTTTGCTTTTACGTACCCAAGGTTGCTTTTTCGACAATAGAGAGGGGTTTATGTCTGAAAATTTTGGGGTTTAAGCCCCATTTTCCATCTTTGGGATTGGCATTCTTAAAATATTTCTTGTGCTAAATCATTTGGTTAACCTTTTGTGATTGTAAAACTTCAGTTCTCTTTATTATTTATGGATTTTAACATCAAAATTTGGAATTTTGATTGGCAAATGACAAGATTTTTCAGGAACTCAAGTATTAATTAAAATGAAGATTGTGATTTGATTTTGATCCTTTTTCAAAATGGTTTTCACCCATGAGTTTCTAAATCCTTGAGTATCATTTTGAAGTAAAGAATTTCGGATTAGAACTTCATTTTTGGGATTGAATTTTGTTGATTGATCCATTTTTTTAAGTGTATGAGTTGGGTGTTGTTGTTTACGGAAATTTATTGTGAATAGTTGATTAATATAGATTTTGTTGCGTTGGACAATGGTTGGAAGGGGAAGACTCATGTCTTGGACTGACTAGTTGATTGATTTAAGGCACGTGATATCCCAAACCTTGTAATCTAGTAGAATTCGTGTATTCGCTTCATTGTTTCTGTGTTAGGAATAATCAGAATGAGGTGAGGGATTCATTGTTCCAATTGATAATGCTTAATGAATAAAAAAGGATTAAATGACGAATTATGTGTTGATCATAATGCTTGTGAAT